CTGTGACTGGTGATAAGAAGGAACTGAGGGGGGCCAGAGGTGGTTCCCTCTTTTATCAGCACACAGTGGCACTTGAGCTACCCCAATGGGTACCACTGAGGAAAAAAATCTCCAACATCCAAGCAGGGAGCACACACGTACCTACACTGGAACTGACAGGTGCAATCACTCAAAGAAGAGCTACAAGGTATCTGGTTTGTGTTAAAAGTGTCATGGGAGCTTTAATTATGAACAGCCAAGACCTCAATTTTACTACCTTAAAGTACTTTGGAAGGTAAATGGTAAGTTAATTTGTGAATTTTGATGCAATTTAAAATAGTTTAGAACCTTACAAATCTGCAAGAGAAAATCCAATTTCAGTTCATATGCTGTAATATTCTGAATTATCTGTAAATTTCCTGATGTTAAATGCTACAATGCAGTAATGCAAGGGAAAAATGCCCTTAATCTCTAACAGCCATGCCATCTGTTTCAGTAACAAACTCCAGCTTTAATCATGTAAAAGTTCAAATACCCATAGATCATTGAAGAATTCGTTGTTCAAACCAGGGTCATGTATCTTCTGTGTCAATGTCATTTAACTCGTGTGCTGAGTGCTATGTTATTTTGGTATTAAAGGACTAAAAAGCTATTGTATATTTTAAAAGCTGTGACAATCTAATGAGTAAGGACTCAGTTTAACAAAGCACGTAAGTATTTAGGAGTACAGTATAAGTTACAGTAACTCCTCACTTAAAGTTGTCCCGGTTAACGTTGTTTCGTTGTTACGTTGCTGATCTATTAGAGAACATGCTCGTTTAAAGTTGTGCAATGCTCCCTTATAACATTGTTTGGCAGCCGCCTGCTTTGTCCACTGCTTGCAGAAAGAGCAGCCCATTGGAGCCAGCTGGTGGGGACTTGGAACTGGGGTGAACCAGCAACCCCCCTATCAGCTTCCCGCTCCCCTAAATTCCCTGTGCTGCAGCCTCCCAACAGGCTATCAGTTGCCGGGCAGTTCAGTTGTCCCTCCCCCCACTGCCATGTGCTGCTCCTGCCCTCTGCCTTGGAGGAAGTCTCCTGCTTGCTGTACAGGGCGGTGGAGGAGGGGGAGGAGGAAGAATGGTTAATATGTCAGGGTGTCCCCCTCCCCCCTGCATCCTGCTTACACCATAGCCATAGAGCAGGGAGGACACACAACAGGGCTCAGGACAGAGGGAGCTTGCTGATCTACTTAAAAAGGCAATGTACTTAGAGTGGGGTCAGCATACTTAAAGGGACAATATGCATCTCTCTCTCTCTCTCTGTCTCGCACACACACAGGTAGGAGTCTCTGTCTGCCATGCTGTCTCCCCTCCCTCCATTCGTGCTGCCTTGTAGAGTGTGAGGCTACATTAACAACAATGTGTTAACCCTTGAGGGCTCAGCTGTTCTAGTTCATCATTTAGCAGTAAGGCATTCCCTGGGAAATATCCCATCCTCTGACTTCACCACCTCAACCAGGCCTCACAATCATCACTGCTGTGTACAGTATTAAATTGTTTGTATAAAACTTATACTGTTTGTATACATATAATATAGTCTTTTGTCTGGTGAAAAAAATTTCCCTGGAACCTAGCTGCCCCTACTTACATTAATTCTTATGGGGAAACTGGATTCGCTTAACATCGTTTTGCTTAAAGTCACATTTTTCAGGAACATAACTACAACGCTAAGCGAGGAGTTACTGTATTGTATTGGCCTTTTTCTTCATAGATGCAGTAATGCAAATTCTAGTGCATTTTAGGCCTAGAAAATAGACTGGAAAAAGAAAAGGAGTATTGGGTAATAGAAGACTCTGCAGCAGAGCAATGTCAAGAGACATTGTTGGTGAATTGAACTCTATAAATCTTTTTAATTCCATAGAACATCTCAGCTTCACTTAAAAAGTTATTAGGGATTGAGGAACTTGGAAAAAAACATCCTTGTTTTACAAATTCTATTAGAGAACATGCTCGTTTAAAGTTGTGCAATGCTCCCTTATAACATTGTTTGGCAGCCGCCTGCTTTGTCCACTGCTTGCAGAAAGGGCAGCCCGTTGGAGCCAGCTGGTGGGGACTTGGAACTGGGGTGAACCAGCAACCCCCCTATCAGCTTCTCCCGATCTCCCACAGTATTCTTGTCAGCAAGTTAAGGAAGTATGGGCTGGATGAATGCACTATAAGGTGGGTAGAAAGCTGGCTAGATTGTCGGGCTCAACAGGTAGTGATCAATGGCTCCATGTCTAGTTGGCAGCCAGTGTCAAGTGGAGTGCCCCAGGGGTCGGTCCTGGGGCCGGTTTTGTTCAATATCTTCATAAATGATCTGGAGGATGGTGTGGATTGCACTCTCAGCAAATTTGCAGATGATACTAAACTGGGAGGAGTGGTAGATACGCTGGAGGGGAGGGATAGGATACAGAAGGACCTAGACAAATTGGAGGATTGGGACAAAAGAATCCAATGCACCGCTACAGACTAGGGACCGAATGGCTAGGCAGCAGTTCTGCGGAAAAGGACCTAGGGGTGACAGTGGATGAGAAGCTGGATATGAGTCAGCAGTGTGCCCTTGTTGCCAAGAAGGCCAATGGCATTTTGGGATGTATAAGTAGGGGCATTGCCAGCAGATCGAGGGACGTGATCGTTCCCCTCTATTCGACATTGGTGAGGCCTCATCTGGAGTACTGTGTCCAGTTTTGGGCCCCACACTACAAGAAGGATGTGGATAAATTGGAGAGAGTCCAGCGAAGGGCAACAAAAATGATTAGGGGTCTAGAACACATGACTTATGAGGAGAGGCTGAGGGAGCTGGGATTGTTTAGTCTGCAGAAGAGAAGAATGAGGGGGGATTTGATAGCTGCTTTCAACTACCTGAAAGGGGGTTCCAAAGAGGATGGCTCTAGACTGTTCTCAATGGTAGCAGATGACAGAACGAGGAGTAATGGTCTCAAGTTGCAGTGGGGGAGGTTTAGATTGGATATTAGGAAAAACTTTTTCACTATGAGGGTGGTGAAACACTGGAATGCGTTACCTAGGGAGGTGGTAGAATCTCCTTCCTTAGAGGTTTTTAAGGTCAGGCTTGACAAAGCCCTGGCTGGGATGATTTAACTGGGAATTGGTCCTGCTTCAAGTAGGGGGTTGGACTAGATGACCTTCTGGGGTCCCTTCCAACCCTGATATTCTATGATTCTATGATTCTATGAAATTTTTTTAAATGATTTCAAAACACCATTTGGGTGTCAATATCTATTCAAACAGAACTTCTTTCCCTGAAAACAATTTATTCTTTCATTATAGTAAATGCCTCCCCTGAGCTCACTGAATATTTGAGAATAATGACCTTCCTCCTTTTACTTTAAAAGTATCCTTTTCAAGCCAAAATTTAATTTTAAAAGTGGGTTTATCTTTTATTTAAGTCTGACAGCTTGACTCATGGTAACTGCAACTGGAATAACTAAATCAGTTCTCAGAGGAACAGCCGTGTTAGTCTGTATTCGCAATAATTTACAAAAATACTAAATTATGACTATACATCTGACTTTAAATAAACCCTCTGAGAAGTCATATTGCAATCTACAGACATCAGCTAAAGAATTTCAGTGTGCTACATACAAAATTAACAATATAAAGTATATCAAAAATGGTCATTTGTTCTGGTTACCAATGTCCACTATCTAACATTAGCAATACTGCCCAATTATAGGATCCCCACCAAGGCATTAATCTTCATAAGTATCTTATTAGAGAGTGGAGGGTGCTCATGATTTACAATGTACGCCATTACAAAATCATCTGCACAATCCACTGATTGCCATTTTTAGTACCCTACGTTTAAGAACAAAAGAAGATTTGATAGAGTTTTCCATTTTTTAAACTACTAAAACTAAATCATGTTCTTCACTGTTTTGGAGAGAATATGATCAACACTTTCGCATTTGATTTCCCTCAGATTATTTTTAATTTCTACATCTATATACCAGCTGATGTTTAGATTTAGACTGAGCAGCCAATGAGGTACAACACTAGTTGCCAGCAAGGCTTTGTATTACACTGGCTACCAGCATGGTACATAACTGGTTACTCCAGAGATGGAGAGCTTTAAAAACACTACAGTAGAGTGCAATATAAGGGCTATACTATAACTATATTAAGTAACTGAAATAATTGATCATAAAAAAAGACAGAAAACTTCAGATTCCTAATGTTATTTTCACCATATGTGTAAATTAAATATTAAATATTTCACATTCTTAATATAGTTAGATGAGGGATGGATAGTTGTTATTTTTGACCCTTAATGACATTAATTTTAAAATTTACTAAGTAGACCCTCTGCTCAAACTGTAATTACAACGCTTTCTCTGCAACTAAGCATACAAAACGTGACATTAAGAAATCATAGAAGGAGGGCATATTTATTTGCATGGCGTTTAAGAACATGGTTGGGTCAGGTGACCCTGTTAGGAGTAGTTGGTCATACAGACCAAACTTCATTATATATGTCCTGCTGCTGTAATCAAGATGTGAGAGGAGGAAGATCTGGACCAGCCTTAACAGTAAACATTTTCTTTTGAAAAAATTAAGTTTTTATTTTAAAAATAGGTTTATCTTCTTTCCCATCTTAAGTATTACCGCCATCACAAAATAAAATGGCAGCAGCATGGGACGAATACGCAAAGGCAGATCTCATTTTTATTTTGAAATATTTTGTTACTTAGCATCATAGTATTGCACAGAATTTGTAGTATGATTTCTTGCTGTTTCTTTTGAGGAGCAGAAGGGGAGGGAAGGGTCTCTTCTCACATATGAAATCTGACAAATATCCAAAACCTTGCTCTGCATTGACATGTACTTGGATATTTTGAATGTTATTTTTGTTGAATACTGTTTAGGAAACAAACAAATTGTTCTGCACAAAGAAATGATGCCTATATAAGCCAGTTTTCAACTCAGACTTCATACAATTTACATTCTGCTCGAGAGTAAGACACATGTAAAATTACCTACCTCTTTCTGATCAAGCTGTAAAGAGGATTTTATCAAGTCTCGGAGCGCAGTAAGCTGTTTCTTTTCTTCATCTTGTGTCTGCTTTATCTGTGGAAGGAAAAATTACTGGTATTATTTCCTTTTCTAAAAGCAACTTTTACCTTCAAAGTTTAAATTCACCAAATTTGGCACTCTGTATTTGGCCTTCGTGGCCCCTGCCTTCGAGGTCCCGCTGCTCTGCTACGCTTGCCCCAGGAAGCAGTGAGATAGGAGAAAAAGTGGAGCAAAGGTGGGTCCTCCATGCCTTTCTGGTGAGGCCTCACTGAAGCAGCCATGTTGGAAGCTAAGGAAACCTGGTCCTCCAAGGTCTAAAAGGGGTAGGGACAGTCAAGCCAATCAGAGCCCTCAGGCTCAGATAACAGGAGCGGCAGGGCCTTAGCAGGTCATCCTGGCTGAAATCAGAGGAGTGAGAAAGAGAGGTCCTCTATGGCTTGGAGATAGAAAAGAACCGAAGGATGCTGGCCCTGAAATAGGGCTGGAGACAAAAAGGGTCTGGTAGGAGAAGACCAGAGAAATAGCAACGGACTGAAGTAAGCAGTAAGTGGCTGCTGTGTATACGGTTCCTGTGTTGGAACTCAGAATAGTGGGTGTGCCTGGGTTCCCCTACCAGCCACAGCTAAAGTATAAACCCCAAGAAGGGGACAGGCTTTATTTGGGAGCCTGAACAAACAGCCCAATTTAAAGTGCCCAGAGCCAGGGCTGAAGACCTGAGCGAGGGCAAACAGACTGTTTAGTTATTGGACTTGGATACCCCAGAAAGGGTTCATTCAGACTTTGTGACTGGATTGGAAAGCCAAGCCACGGAAGGAAGATCCAATAAGGTTGGCCAGCAGCCTGCAGGGAGCACCAGAGATAAGCAAAGGACTGTGATAGCACACCCCACCACTCAGAGCCATTACAGTCACCCATGAAAATTAAACACACAGTAGTCTATTCCTTATGTATTTATCCTCTATACGCATATACCTCAAAAGCAAGCCAAAGTGAATGTATATTGAGAAATAGCCTCTTCAGTCTCTGCAAATGGATAGCATGTACTTTCTTGCCATATGTTAATGGTTCATTATAGTTAACACCACTAAATTAGTCTCCAAAGTCTTAATATTTCAAATAAGCTTGACAGCTGGTTTATAACTAGACTGGAAACGGAAAGAGTTTAATTCAACCACATACATAAGGTCTGGGAGCATGTATAATTCTGTGGGCAGAGGTAGGGGTGATGTCATCTGATTTGTAAAAGTCTACAGAATCTCAGTTTAACAGTGTCAACTTCTGCAGCATGATAGGAGGGAATCGCTGCCATCCTGGCTCCCAGGTTGAGGTCCACCAGTTGGTAGAAATTTTAATAATACAGTGTTGTTGGAAATGGATTGAGCTGGGTATCATTCAAAAGCCCTATCTCCCTCGAAAAAAATGGTATCAAATATGACAAATCCTAGAACAATTATGTAAATATATATTTAAGAAAATGTTTTAAAATATATTTTTTAAATTATACTTTAACACAGGCATGTCAAACATGCAGTCCTCACGAAGATAAATTGTGGCCTTTGACTGACAGTACTGTGTTATCAGTTAATGTCCAGAACATACCTGCTAAATTTTTTTAAGGTTACAGATTACTCTAAATGGAAGGAGAGCTTCAAGTTGATTTGCCATCATCAGCAAAACAAGAAGTGGTTCCGTGGTACTGATTATCAGCTTTATTTATTATGCCAAAACAGTTGTAATGAGGTACTGGTTAAGACGTCAGCATCCAGCCAGAAATTACTGGAATTCATCTGCAAACGGTATGCATGTAGTTACATAACGTATATTACATAACATAATTAATTACAATTCCAAAGTAATTTATTACAAAATCCTTATTTTTACTTCGGTCTTGATCCTTTTTAGGCATTAATGGGGAGACACAAGAGTACTGACTAACCGCTGAATCTTTGGAGACTATAACTGTGGAGGACCTGGTTAAACACAATGCTCAGTGGCACTTTAAATGCTGTAAGAAGTGCACCCATAACCTGAATTTAGCAAGGCTGGAGAGGAAGTACATTGTGCATCAGGAAAAAGTTGAAGATGCTGGGATATGTGCTAGCTGTGGGCAAGACTCACCTTATACTAGTTCCCGTGGCACATGTTTCGAGAACACCTGCTTCTTGTCTGGTAAGCTGGAAGCCCAATGGCATCCATTAAATATAGTTTCAACACATGAGACAAGTGAGAAACTATATGAAGTAGTCACCCTTGGTGAGAACATTCCCTGGAAAATAAAGTTTTAAGTGGCTGCATTGATCCAAAAGACACCCACACATACAACACTGCCTATCACATCGACTATGCCAAGGAAGTATGTAATGTGTTGCATCAAAAGTAAAAGAAACAAATACTGGTTTTACCACTGCAAACTGTACAACTCAACTGGAGTTGACTAATTGTCTTGCAGAGGCTCTAATGAATGGGAAAGTGGTGTTGATGGCTGATGCAGAAACTAAATAGAGAGAAATATATGCTTTGAATGGGATAGAAAAGGAACAAATGTTTAACAGAAAGGCTCTTAGAGCACATATTGAAGATGAACTGCAGGCTACGAACATTGCTTTTTGCAATCTGATCCACAGAAATGAATCTCAGCACATATCCTTGAAATCTTCAAAAGAAGTGGCACTATCAAAAGCAGAAAAAAAGAGCTGATTTCAACAGTAATATTAAGACACTGTTTGCAGCTGCTAAAATTTTACAGAAAGGCATTTTGTCCTGCATGCAGTATGTTGGGAGTTTCAGGGACAGATAGATGATGCCCAACCTGAATAAGAGATATGGAAAAGTCTGACCCTGACATATGGGAGAAATTTTGAAAACGAAATGTGGTTGTTAGAAGGTTGCCTCTTGGCCACTTCTGTCCACATGATGCCCTAAAACAAGAATACAGAGCTTTGAAAGTCCTTGGGGAGGGAGAGGGGAGGGGACGGGTTGGTGGGCATAACAGTATACAAATGGAAAAGGAGTACTTGTGGCACCTTAGAGACTAACCAATTTATTTGAGCATAAGCTTTCATGAGCTACAGCTCACTTCATCGGATGCATCCGATGAAGTGAGCTGTAGCTCACAAAAGCTTATGCTCAAATAAATTGGTTAGTCTCTAAGGTGCCACAAGTACTCCTTTTCTTTTTGCAAATACAGACTAACACGGCTGTTACTCTGAAACCTGTCAGTATACAAATGCTCTTTCCTATTTTCCTGACAATCCCGGAACTCCATCGAATTTCAAACGAAACATTAAGCATGGCTGAGATGACTCCCCAGAAGTAACCAAACATCATCTAGTCTCATCAGGTGCTGTTAAACGTTAAGAAGGGTCGATTTTAAAGCTACAGGATGATCTTACTCTCACTGAAAACCAATTTGCATAGACAGACCGGAGCTCATTAATATCAAATCTTCAGTGATAAGATTACAGACAGGTCATTGTTTACTCATCTCCTTGTTGTGTCTAGATCTCAGGGTGATACTGATCTATGTGAGACTTTGGGAAAGTAGGAGTTCTCCGTGATACCACGACTGATGGTCGAATGTAAAGGAACAATGTATACGTGCCAGGAGAAAAGCAAACTAATGCACAACTTGCATAGTCTTTCTAAGCCAACACCTACTGACAGATTATCTAGTGCTCTCTGTGAGAAGGTACCCAATACTTCCTCAAGATTCTATTTTTGTGCATGCTGCTGGGAATCAGAATCACAGTATATCCCTCCAAGCTGTGTTCCCACTACTTAGAACATTAAAAGCTGGCACGTTGCCAGCATTCATATGCTGAGTTTACCATTTCAAGACCAAGATTGTAACACTTGCAGAGCTATGTTGGTGGATATTGTCTAAGAAGCAGAAAGAGAAAAGTTGCCACTGACAAAGGGTACATTTATACCTGCTACCAAAAGGGCAAACTATCAAGTAATGAAATGGTTTTAGGATGATTAAGCGCATCCAAAACTATCTTCCCATATTGGGCATGAATCGGTCTTCGAGGAGAACCTGATCACATCAGTTAAGTGTGAAATACCATGCATTCTTGAATCAATCCTTCAGCTAATCAAATGCTTGTATGCAATGACCAGATGCTCAACACCCTGCAAATGTCTGGCCAGCAGCCTGCCTGGCATAGAGATGTGTTAGCTTGGCATGTACAAGGATCAGTGTGACCACATAGCTAGCAGTGAGGCCCTAGACAAGGACAACACTGATGATGAATACATGTTTTCAGTCCAACATGTCCAGACTAGCTTCCCTAGTATTACCAAAGATCAACATGTTTTTTATGTAAGCAAGACATCCCTGTGTTGAAGTATAATTAAAATGTTGGGTTTTAAACATTATCTCAAACACATATCTACATATGTATGTCATGTTTGTCATCATTGTGTTTGTGGGAGAAAGGGCTTTTGAACGATACCCAACTTGACCCATTTCCAATGACACTTATCAAATTTCACCAACTGGAGATCTGGCAGCAGAAGTAACACGCCCCCCCCCCCCGACCCCATTACGCCATAGAGGGTGACACCACTGAAATTATGATTCTGTAGATTTTTACAAATCAAATGACACCTTCCTTACCTTTGTATCGTTCACTTGCTCCCAGAATGAGATTTTAACACATTATGCCCCCAGACTAATAAACTACAAAAGCTAATGGGATTACCATGGCAATGTCTACACAACAAAAACAAACAAACCAATCAACCAAGTAGTGGCAGCGAGTCAGAGTTGTAGGTCAACTCATTCGGGCTTGCGGGGCTCATGCTACAGGGCTAATAGTAGTGTAAATGTTCCTGTTCAGTCTGGAGCTCAGACTAGGAGACCCTCCTCCCTTGCTGGGTTTCTGAGCCCGTACTCCAGTCCTAGCAGGAATATCGACACTGCTATTTTTAGTCCTATAGTGAGAGCCCATGAGCCGAAGTCAATTGTCCAAGGCTCTGAGACATATTGCCACAGGATTTTTTATGCCATGTACATGTACCTTATGACTTCAGATTATGAAATACAAAATTACATTGGTGACACTGAGCTCTAATACTTTATCATTTTTTGCCTCCAAATCAACAATCACCATTTGCAATATTAGTATTTGAGAGATTACAGAACTACACAATTCACTCATCAAATGCTGTGTTGTACACAATTCCAAATTAAGTCTGTATTGTCAAGCAGTCCATTATGAAAACCAGACACAGATAAAATTTGTGCTATATTAGTGAATATCTGATGCAAGAATACCCATCCAGTACTATCCACATGGTACAACAGTCAAAGCCTCTATTTGCAGCTGAATAGATAACTTCTTCCTCAAAGTAAATCATGGTATAACTTACAGAATGCAAAGGTTTTAGGAAACAGTTAGTACCATCTAACTACTAAGATAGCTTGTCCCACCATTTTAGTTACAGTTGAGGCTTGAAGGAACACTTTTTTATTTTTACAGTGTAAATGTGAAGTTAGATTATACTTTTAGCTATTTAGTTATTTCGGTTTACTGATAGCACTTAAGACTGAATTCAGATGAACAAGCAAAAACATTTTCCTATTTTCAAACACTACAGTACCTCAAATTACTTACATTGTATAAATCGGCAGCCAACTTTTCAATATACTGTTTCAACTTATCAGCAGTTTTCAAGCCATCTTGGAAGAAACTACAATGGAAAATACCCGTGATTTATCAGCAATACATGAATTTTCTGTATCAAAAATCATTGAATTTTACATTGAAAATTATACACAACTTATACCCATTACCAGTTGTCTGAAACCATCTGAAATATCATTTCCACATAGCTCTAATTTGAAAGCACTTTAAAGATATGAATGTTATATTATAATTCTTCACAAATATCCCTTGCTGCATGAATACAGAGTATGCCCAAATATATGTAATTTTATGACTGAGTTAATCTTGAAACTGCTTTTGCATACAATTTTGATTTGGTTTTAGCATTTCAGACTTCAGAGTATACAGTGATGTCATGTAAAAAGCAAATTCACACAGTACACACACTGCAAAAGCCTACGTGTATGAGTCTCATAAAACTCTGCAAACTCCACACACATTCACCCAAACTGCATTCATCAACTGATAGGTAGACATAGGACATACAAACCTCTGTAGATAAACACAATATTAATCCCTGTCAACGAAGCATTTATTTTAAGTGGAAAGCTCTGGGAAAGAGACTGTAATTTATCCACCAGAGAGACAAGCTCTTAATTCGTGTATTTCTCTTAAGATTTCAATGGCACACTCTCCCTTACCACTTCTGTCAGCAGAAGAGATTTAACACTGACTTCTACCCCTAGATACCAACATCAATAGAGATAAATTTCATTGTTTTATTTTATCACTGCTAGTAAACATTTTTCTCTTTAGCGATTCCTCTCTCTCTCTCTCTCTCTCTCTCTCTCTCTCATCACAGCTGCACATGAGATCTCCCTCATTTTGTGCATCAATTCAAGACAAAAGCGTCTTAAAGTCTAGTTTTGGTAAGTCTGCCTCTGTGCTCCCATCTGTAAAAACTGATATAATTTACCACTTATCTACTGATGTCACATGGATACTGTCAGGATTACTTGTTTGTAAAATGATTTTGAAGACTAAAAGTGCTATGTAAATATTAATTATTATTACGTAGAAGTAAGCAAGTTACCTGTTCATTACATTCCAGCTCCATCTGCTTTGACAGTTAAAATCTGCTTCCTACACAGCACTAGAGGGTTATGCTGCCTTTTCACTAGACCTACCTCTCTCTCTGGTTCCCTCTTTTCTTTTTGAAGGAAGCAGTTCTTTACTTGCCTGTGGAATCTCTATTTAGGTTGGTCATATTGTAGTCACCATCTTTTCACTTGGAGGAGGACTAGAGAGAGCAGTATTTGGACCAGACAAAGCTATTCCCTAATTAACCTAATGGATCACTGTTGTGCAATACAAAAAATACCCTTCAACCCTCTCACTCCCACAGAGTGAGAAACTCAGAACAGAAATGAAAGATACAAATTTGATATGGCCTTACAAAACACTATCTTCAAGTTCGTTTACTAGTAAGAATTATGGATACACATAAGAGAGCTAGCATGTATTCTACTGCAGTCCAGTCACTTTACCCTAGTGATATTAAATGGAACACAAAATTGAATAAAGAACTGAATTCTATTGATACTTTAAAATCAAATTCAATGGCTCTCAATTCATAGACAGCACTGATCATTAAGTATTCAGAATGGCCCAATTTAACAGTCTGCTTGGAATAGACATTACCTGGACTTGAGTCAAAGCTAGGCAATGTTCACATTTCTGTTGTTAGATTTATTTGGCAGAAAAGCCTCAAATTGTTCAATGACCCACCATCAAAAGACAGACACCATCAAGACAATGTAGCAAAGGGAGGTAGAGAAACACATTTGTTTAACTGAAATATTGGATTTAACGATCCAAAGTGTTATACTTACTTGCACTGTGCATGATAATACTTAATAAGATTCTGTAGAAGGTCCACACCTTTTTTTGTCTTGATTTCATTAACCTTAATGAGATACTGTAGAAATAAAAACATAACTTGCTGATGATATTTTTATGTTAGATCTTCAGCTATGTTCAAAAAGAAGAGTCTCTGTCTCCAATCTGTTCAACTAATTCAATAATGATCTCTGTGGTTACCTTGTTGTTGATTTGCAGAACATTGAACCAACACACAATGATTAAAACCTGAATACGCAAAATAAATTAGTATGTTTTTAGAATGCCCAAATGAACTAATTTTAACAATTTCTAATACAAGTTTGCCATAAATGCAGGAATTTTTTTCCCCTCAAACGGTAGGAAGACATGCCTTTTCATTACATCACAATTATTAGTGCATTACTTCAAAATAAGAATGTTATCAAATTCTAATTGATTTCTCCTCAAATTGAATATAAAGAGAACTATTTTAAAAGTTACTAGTAAATATTTTAGAAGCGATCATCGTAAATTAATATTGATTGAACTAACATGTCAGTTTAACAGGCATCACCAGATTCTCAACCAAATATTTCCTAATTTTACAAACAATATATCAGAAAAGACATCCAGAACAGCAATGCTTTGCACCTAAAGACCAAGAAAACTGTTTTTGCTTACTATGCTTTCTTTAGCTTGAGAGCCTTACTCTAACAATCTAAACAGAGGACTGAAACTCAAAATGAGAGGATGGCGAAGCCATGTCTTGCATAGGATTTCCAGAACAATAATCTTTAATATAGTTCAGCCACTTGACAGCCAAACGCATTTTCTAATTTCACTAGCAAGAGAATTTCATCACCACTTTCTAATAGGATCGATAGGACACTTCTATTAAAGTATGACACATAATTAAATGGTGAAAGTTGTTTCTTACTTCACACATCTGGAGCTGAAATAGTCGCCTTTCCTTCTCCATTTCTTCTGCTATCTCAGCTCCTGTTATCTCTGTTCGTATCATCCCATGCTGTTTTGCATGTTCTCTTTTTTCCTTTTCAATTTTTGTGCTGGAATTATAATTAAAATAGATTTTGGGAAACTTATTTCACTGTAATGTGATCCAGAAATTTTACTAAAACATACATTGTATAACATCATGATGGAAAAATAGCCATTCTGTAAACACACATTCTCCCATATTTTAACAAGTTCCCTCAATAATACCTTGGGATTTGAGAGAACTGACTTGCAGACGAAATGCTGACATCACTATTAGGTGAGCCCTCAGTGAACTGAGTAAGAGACCAGAAGACTGATGTGTAATAGATACTCCAAAATGTCCTGAATGAAGGCCAGTATTGGCTGAATTCTCCACTTGGACCAATAAGCTGCCGTAATAGAAGGCCTCCTACTGTTAAGCAACATCTGTCAAACAGCTTCCGAACATTGTTGCTCCCTCCTCATCTAGTCATGCAACATCCACACCATGAGATACAGAGTGCTAAGTGCAAAACTTGACCGTGGTGCTGAGTCAGTAGGTCAGGATGAAGAGGAAGTAATATGGGAGGCTGAACCAACAGACTGAGAAGGTCAGACAACCAACATTGCTTCAGCGAAGCTGGAGTGTGGAGAATCATTTTGGCATGCTCCAACTTCAGCTTTAAAATGACCTTTGTGGTGACTGGGATTGGGGAGGGTGGAAGCATACATCAGAGCTAATCCCTAATTGAAGTGCAAGGGGTTGTTTGGAAGCCTGGGATGAGACCTGCTTGAGAGCAAAATTGATGGCACTTCTTGTTGTCTCTTGTTACAGAAAGATCAACAGTCAGAATGCCCCATTCTGCAAAGCTGGATCTCACCACACACTGACTTCAGAGACCACTCATGATCCTGGGAGAAATTCCTACTGTGCTAGAACTGCCAGTTGGGTATGGCCCAACACCTAAACAGATACTTTGCCTCAGTTTTCAGTAAGGGTAATGAGGAGTTTGGGAGAAGTGGCTAATGGGAATGAGAATAAGGAAGCATCAATTACCACTTCCAGAGTGGAAGCCAAACTCAAACAGCTTAATGGGACCAAATGAAGGTGCCCAGATAATCTCCATACAAGAATATTAAAGGAACTGGTACATGAAATTGCAAGCCCAATAGCAAGGACTTTTAATGAATCCGTAAATTCAGGAGGCGTACCCTATGATTGGAGAATTGCAAATATAGTACCTATATTTAAGAAAGAAAAACATAATGGTCTGGGGAACTACAGGACCATTGATTTGACCTCCATTGTATACAAGGTCTTAGAACAAATTTTGAAAGAAAGAATGATTAAAGATACAGAGGTAAGTGGTAACTGGGATAGAATTCAACATAGTTTTACAAAAGATAGATCATGCAGACCAACTCAATCTTTCTTTGAGAAGATGACAGATTTTCTAGACAATGGAAATTCAGTAGATCTAACCTCCCTAGATTTCAGTAAAGCATCTGATACATTTCCATATGGGAAATTATTAGTTAAACTGTAGACAATGGGGATTATAATATGAGAATCAAAAGGTGGGTAAGGAATTGGTTAGAGGTGAGACTACAACGAGCCATATTGAAACATCAGGCCAGAGAAAGATTATTAGTGGAGTTCCTCAGGGATTCATCTTGGGACCTGTGACAGGATCCCCAGGGTACAACCTGGAACTGGGGTACCGCACTGCCCCCGTAACTCTCCAGCCCGGGCTGTCTCTCACAATACTTTGCTAGTGACAAGCAGAAAACCCCTCCACGCGCTGTTATCACATAGCACAACATGTGGAGCCCCACACCCAGCTAGACAGCATGAATGCTCCCAGAGCCACTCACGAATCACGCAGAGAAAGACACCAGCAAATCTCCCAAGCCTGGCACCCTAGACTGTACTGTCTTGCCCTGGTCAGAAGCCTAACCAGTGTAAGTTTATTACCCAGTCTGTCCCTCCCTTGATGTGGAGAGGACACACACTAGCCTTTGTCACCTGAGCTGAAATTTCCCAAGCACTTCAACCAAAACACACTGTTTTTGGTAAAATATAAAATAGATTTATTAACTACCAAAAGATAGATTTTAAGTGATTATAAGTAGTAGGCACAAAAGGTCAGAGATAGTTACCAAAGAAAATAAAAGGTAAGCGCAGAGTCTAAATCTTAAACCTTAATAGACTAGGCAGTATTTGGCTCCAGCAGTTTTCTCACTCCACTGGATGTTACAGTTCTTAATACACAGGCTTCCCCTTTTAAGCCTGGGACCAGTCTCCTCAGTTGAAGTCTTTGTCTTCCCAGCATTTTTGTCGTTTCCAGAGTAGGTGAGGGAAGGAGAAAAGCAAAAGCATGATGCCACTGTCCCCTATTTTATATCCTCAGTCTGTGTGTCTGCAAAACACTAGCCCAGACATGTCCTGGTGGGCTTTGCTAAGTCACAAAGTTGAGCAATCCCCCATTGTGTGATGCCTGCATACAAGACCAATCTTATTTAATATTTTCATTAATGACAGCACAAAAAATGCAGTATGCTAATAAAATCTGCAAATGACACAAAGTTGGGAGGTACTGCCGATATGGAGGATGACCAGACTATGATACAAGAAGATTTGGATGACCTTAAACGTGAGAAATAGAAATGACATGCAATTTAATATTACAAAGTGCAAGGTCATGCCCTTACAGCAGGGGTGGGAAAACTTTTTGGCCTGAGGGCCACATCTGGGTATGGAAATTGTATGGTGGGCCATGAATGCTCATGAAATTGGGGGTTGGGTGTGGGAGGGAGTGAGGGCTCTGGCTGGGGGTGTGGGCTCTGGGGTGGGTCCAGACATTAGGAGTTCAGGGTGCAGGAGAGGGCTCCGGGCTGGAGCAGGGGGTTGGGATGCAGGAGGGGGTGAGGGCTTCAGCTGGAGGTGCGGGCTCTGGGGTGGGGCCAAGGATGAGGGGTTTGGGGTGTATGAGGGGACTGGAGAAGGAGCAGAGGGGTTTGGAGTATGGGAGGGGGCTCCGAGCTGAGGCGGGGGTACAGGCTCTGAGCTGAGGGTGCGGGTTCCAGGATGGGGCCAGAAATGAGGGATTCAGGGTGCAGGAGGTGGCTCTTGGCTGGGGAAGGGGTTTGGGGTGTGGGGGAGGGGGCTCTGAGCTGGAGCTGAGGGGTTTGGAGTGTGGGAGGGGGCTTCGGACTGAGGCAAGGGGGTAGAGTGTGTGTGTGGCGACGATGGCTCCACCTAGGGGTGTGGCTCTGGAGTGGGGCTGGGACTGAGGGGTTTGGGGTCCAGGAGGGTGCTCCGGGCTGGGACTGAGTGGTGTGGGAGGGGGATCAGGGCTGGGGCGGAAAGGGGATCAGGGCTGGGGTAGGGGGTTGGGGCCCAGGAGGAGGTCAGGGGTGCAGGCTCCGGGCGACACTTACCTCAAGCAGCTCCCAGAAATAGCAGTCTGTCCCCCCCAGCTCCTACGTGGAGGTGCAGGGCCAGCCAGGCTGCTCTGTATGCTGCCCCGTCTGAGGGGGCCACCCCTGCAGCTCCCATTGGCCGTAGTTCCCAGCCAATGAGAACTGCAGAGCCGGTGCGTGGGGCAGGGGCAGCATGCGGAGCCCCCAGGCTGCCCCTACATGTAGGAGCTGAAAGGGGGACATGCTGCTGCTTCCGGGAGCCACACGGAGCAAGGCAAGCCCCAACCCTGCTCCCCAGCTGGAACGCTGGAGCAGGGCAAGCCCCCGACCCCATTCCCTGTCGGGACCTCGAGGGCCAGATTAAAAGGTCTGACGGGCCAAACGCTGTCCATGGGCCATAGTTTGCCCAACCCTGCCTTAGGGGATAACAACAAGAATTTTTGCTACGAGCTGGTGACTTATCAGTTAGAAGGAACAGAGGAGGAGAAAAACATGGGTATATTGGTCAATTGCAGGATGACTATAAGCGACCAATGTGATGCAGCCGTGAAAAAGGTTGATGCCATCCTAGGATGCATCAGACGAGGTACTTCCAGTAGAGATAGGAAAGAGTCATTACCATTGTGTGAGGCACTGGTGAGATCTCATCTGAAATTCTGTGTACATTTATGTTCTCCCATGTTTAAGAAAGATGAATTCACACCGGCACAGAAAAGGACTACCAGGACAAACAGACGAATGGAGAACCTGCCTTATGAGAGGAGACTTAAGGAGCTTGCCTTGTTCAGCCTAACAAAAGGAAGGCAGAAGGGCAATATGATTGGTATTTATTCCTTTGATATATTTATGGAGAGCAGAGAGGGAGAGGAATTGTATAAATTAAGGGCCAATGTTGGCACAAGAACAAATGGATATAAACTGGCCATCAACAAGTTTAGGCTTGGAATTAGACAAAGTTTTCTAACCATCAGAGGAATGAAATTCTGGAACATCCTCACAAGGGGAGCACTGGGGGCAAAAAAACAATCTTGTTTCAAGACTGAGTTTAATAAGTTTATGGAGGGGATGGTATAATAAGGTTGCCTACAATGGCCATATGGCCCATCTGTGACTGATATCAGCAAATAGCTGCAACAGCTGGATTTGAGGAGGGCTCTGAGTAACTACAGAGAATTCTTTTCCAGGAGGCTTCTTGGTGGGTCTTGCCCACATATTCAAGGTCTAACTGATCACCATGTTTGGGGTCAGGGAGGAATTTTCCCCCGGGTCAGATTAGCAGAGACTTGGGACGGGGGGTCGCCTTCCTCTGCAGTGCGGGGCATGGGTCACTTGCTGGTTTGAGCTAGAGTAAATGGTGAATTCTCTGTCATTTGAAGTCTTTACATCAAGATTTGAGGACATCAATAACACAGCCAGAGATCCTGGTCATTATAGGAGTGGACGGGTAAGTTTCTGTGGGCTATGACATGCAGGAGGTCAGACTAGATGATCGTGATGGTCCCTTCTGGCCTTAAAGCCTGTGAGTCTACAATTGATTCCAGATTCCAGGTAAGTGAGCAGCTGTGGGAATTATGGTCTCCTTGATACTGAACCACCAGAATTTCGTTGCCTCTTGATACAGTTGGTTGGAGCATGCTCCTCCTTGATTGTACACATTGTTCTGTTA